GGTGTAAGAGCACATTCATTGTGAAGAAGGGGTGTGTGTGTGTGTGTGTGTGTGTGTGTGTGTAAACTGGAGGAGATGCCAGGGGTCTGGATGACATGGCAGGTAGGAGGAAGATAGGAAGCCTCGGGCTCTGGGCGGTGTGCTGGAGGCCAGCGTGAGATCTATCACACGGCCTCTCCGTTCTGTCTGGCATTGGATGGTGGTCGGGGCTCAGCCGCGGAGCTCAGATCTGCATCCCACTTCCAGTACCTCATTAGGAAAGTTTGGGCAGAGCTTGGGGCACGGTGTCTGCACTGAGCGTGATAATCTGCATGTGTGTAAATATCCCAACCTCAGGGATGCTTCTTCTGCCCTCTGTGACGGCCCCTCCTGTTCCATGTCCTTCCCCACCCCTCACTAGGAAAGTCAGCCAAAGAAACCCCCTCCCCCAAAACCAAAAACCGTGGCCATCAATGGTCAATTGTGACCCAGGGTGACTCCATGTGTGTCTTGACTGGGTGGCACTCTAGCCCCTGTGGTTTCCTTGGCTGTAAGGAATGCTGTAGAGGTGGGTGGCCAGGCCCTCCTCCGGGTGTTGTCCCCTGCCCACCACCAGCACACACAGCTCTCTGCGTTTGCAGCCGCTGGGCGAATGCAAGCTGCCAACCTTTCATTAGGTAACTGAGCTCGAATCATGTATGCCACCCCAGGACCTGCAAAGTCAGCCGGGACCTGGGGCAGGATTCCACCTTGGCGTCCTCTCCCACGCCAGGCAAGCATGAAAAGTGTGCCCAGGTGCAGAATGGAAACTGATTTCTCTCAGGGGATCTTTAGGTAGAGGTGGGGGCTGGGACGGGCATCCTAGAGTTTCCATGAAAGACATTCGGATTGACTCCACCAAGTGCAAAGGACACTCAAAGTCCCAAAGCCTCTTGTCAACAAAGCTGCTGGATTCTAGTCCGGGGGATCTGGGCCCAGAGGTGAACCTCCTGGTTAAGGGTTACTATCAAGGCAGGAATCTCTCCAGTAGCCTGGGTCATCGCTCAGGGCTCAGGGTCACTCTGAGCTTTGTCATACGCTCCCAAAGAGCACTGGGTCCCTCCGTGGAAGGAGGAAGGGGACCCAAAGACAAGTTCAGGGTTGGTGATAGTATGAGCAGCTATGGGATTTCAAGAGTCACAGGAAGTCACAGAGAATCTGACCTCATGAATCACTTGGTCTGAGCTCTTCGCTCAGTGGGTGAGTGGCCCAGGGAGGCTCCGTCAGCTGGGCAAGGTCGTGGAGCTAGTCAGAGAAGTGCAGAATTAGCACCAGTGTAGCCTGACCAAAACCTGTGGCTTCCCCCACCCATCACCCCCACTCACATCTCTTCCTGTGCACCGCAGGAAGGGGGAGCCTTCTTTAGCTTACTCTTCCCTCTCCTGCTCTCAGGGTGCTTGGGATTCACTGAGTTTCCCTGAATTACCAGCACTTTGGTGGGATCCAATCCTGCCCCCGGGGCGTCAGCATATCACACCTATGACCTGGGGTCTCATTTCAGCCATGAGGGTCCTCCTCCACCTCCCCGCCCTCCTGGCATCTCTGACCTTGCTCCAGGTTGCAGTGCCCGCCGCACGTGGTAAGTATCTGCTGGGCTGCCTTAACAAAGTACCACACGGTGGGTGGCTGAACCAACCCAAATGGATTTTCTCATGGTTCAGGAGACCAGGAATCCAACATTCAAGTCTCGACAGGGCCCTTCTCTCTAAAAGCCCGAGGGGAGAATCCTTCCTCTCAGCTTCTGGTGGCTCCCAGCAATCCTTGGCTTGAAGCTGTGCCACTCCAGGCCCTGCCTTAGCCTTCGCGTGGCCTTCTCGTCTGTGTGTCTGAGAAAGCCACTAGTCCCTGAATTGAGAGTTTCCCCAACCCCTGACCCAGTAAAGGCACCCTGGTGGCACAGGGGCTGCTAATGGAAAGATTTGGGAGTGAACATTTACCAAGCCTGGGAAACCATAAGGAGCCGTTCCACTCTGTCCTAGAGGATCACTAAGAATCAGAATGAACTCTGGGCTAATCCAGTGTGACCTCGTCTTAAGTAATTACATCTGCAAAGATGCAAATGGGATCATCTTCTGAGGTTCCCATGAACATGAAATTTTAGTATTTTTCATCCCCCACATTCCCCTTGTTCAGAGCAGGCATCCCGCCCCTCCCCCCACGCCCCACGCCCAGTGTGAGTGTAACAAGGAGTTCCACCTCTACCCTCGCATCAGGTCAGTTATTTGGGGCCTTGGCTAGAGAAGCCCTCTGCTGGGCTAATGATCCGTGGGACCATCCCCCAGGGGCCAGCCAGCGTGAGTGGTCACACTCTCAGACCATCCCTGGGTACCTCCGTGGACTCCTGCAGGAGCCATTTGGACACTGGGCCCCTGGCGAGTCTGCACGTCTCTCCTAGAGCGCTGGAACTCTTGTGGAAGTGTCCTCACTTTTGTCCTCTGCCTTCTCAGATTTGAGGGGAGGGAGTAGCCCCAGGCCTCGCCAAGGCATGGGATCTGACACCCTGCTTCCCGCTTCTCCCACTCCAAGCACAGGCCACCGTAGCTGCCGCCATCTCTGATGCTGTAAAACAGGCCAAGGTCCAAGTTAACAAGGCCTTCCTGGATTCCAGAACCAGGTATGTGAACAAAACACACACACACACACAAGCTTCACAGGCTCCTCGGGCATGACAAGTGCTGCTAGGCCACCCCTGACGAGCCAGTGCTTCAAAGCAGTGACATAACTTGCTCTTCCATGCCCTCTAAAGTACGCAGCATGTAAGAGCAATAGCCCACAACTCCTAAACTCCTGAACGTCTGCATGGGGGCAAGTTCCTCAGGTGGTTCATTCCAGAGTCTCAGGGCCACCTGGAAGATGGTCTTCAGACACTCAACTAATGAACGGAGTCACTAAAGCCTACTGCTATTGATTCCCACTCATAATGACCCTATAGGGCCAAGTCGAACTGCCCCATAGGGTTTCTTTCCAAGGTTGGCATCTTGACAGAAGCCGACTGCCCCTGGCCAGTTTGAACAGGCGACCTTCTGGTGAGCCGCCAAGTGCAAACCCTATGGGGCAGCTCTACCTTGTCCTACAGCATCTCTGTGAGTTGGAACCAACTCAATGGTCATGGGGCTGTTTGGGTTTTCAAACTCCATCAAGACTCCAGGCCACAGGCCACACCCTCCTTCTCAGGGGTCGGCCCTCTGAGGTTCTTCCCGCTGACATGAAGGTGAAGGGGAGGCCCAGTGGTGGTCGAGGGAGGTCCAACATCTCAGCAACGATCCCCAGGTGGCAATCTACTCTCCCCACTTCCCTGCAATGTTTTTGTAGTCCCCAGGTACAGGGTGAATAAAAGTCACAAGATCAATGTTCACCCACCTCCTTGGCCTTTGGAATGTGGGCTACTGATGTCCACGGTTTAGGTCTTGGATTTAGGGACCTCATAGGGACAGAACGAGTCACGCAGTCCACGGGCAAACAATCCAGCCACTGGCCATGAAGACACGACAGGTACACTGCTCTAGCTGCTTACTGCCAGCAAGTCCATCGGACTCACGGTGACCCTACAGGACACGGTCGAACTGCCCCGTGGGTTTCCCAGGCTGTGATTCTCGCTAGGAGAATGAAGCCTCATCTTCTCCCTCAGCGCTCTGGTGGCGCAGTGGTTAAGCGTTGGGCTGATAACAGAAAGAGAGAGCCTGCCGGAGCACAGGCACACAGTAGGCCAGATGTCTGGAAGGACTGGGGGCCAGTGGGGGGGGGCAGCATTCAGGAGCAGGTGGCATTCCAGGGACAGGAACTGCAATGGCCAAGCCCCGAGGCAAGAAAGAGGTGTGGTGCTCTGCAAACAAAGGGGAAGCTCCCAACACAGCTCTAACATGGGCCTTGGCAGTATGATTTCCATTTTACAAATTCACCCGCCTCTGTGTGGAGAAGGAATGGGAGGGAGACGGGAGTAGAAGCAGTGAACCCAGGAAGAGGCTACGGGGTGGCCCAGGCTTGGGGCTGGGGTGACTTGGCCTGGGGTGGAGGCAGTAGGGAAGGACAAGGGGTCCCTGCTCCAGTGGAGCCCAGCCCTGATACCAAGCAGGAGGGGAGTCCCTGGTGAGCCAGTGTGTAGGCGAGGAACCCCAAGAGGCTAGGATGGAAGGAGGGAGGGGACCCAGAAGCTCTGCAGGAGATCTCTCAGATTGCTCTGGGGAAACCCTGCGACTCACCTCCTGTGTTCAGCGTGGGGGGAGGTTGCATCAGCTGCTTCCAGACCTTGCTGCTGCTAGCACGCGCGTGTTGGCTGTACCCGAGACACCCCTGGCTGCCCTGTGTCTTGGTTTCCCCCTGCTGCCCCCACAGGAGGACACAAGCGGTGGCAGGAACTCACTTCCCCGTGGTTTCGGGGTCTGGAAGTCCAAATTCCGGGCATTTCTCTCCCCCTGTTGGAGGGATGTGGGGGGAGCCCCCGCGGCCTTTTGGCAATCTTGGCAGTCCAGCTGCCCCTGTGTGCTCATTTCTATGCCTCATCTGCCCCTCCTCTATCGTCGAAACAAACAGGTTCCGGGCATGTTCCACACGGGTCCAACGTGACGATGAAACCCTCTTTCCAAACAGGGTTACGCCCACAGGGACAGGGGTTGGGATTCCAGATCATATTTTAGGGGGCCACGGTTCAACCTGCAAAAAAAAAGTATTGGGTCAAACCAGACAGAACAGGTTTCTTTTTCTTTAAGGTAATTAAATGATCAGAGAGCATGATTCCCATCGTTCTCCTATTTGACGAAGAAGGACACTGGGGAACAGAGGTTGAGCAACTTGCCCAGAGTTAAGAGCCCAGCCCAGCTTGTCTGCTCCCCAGTTCCCAGACTGGCTGCTCTGGAGTTCATTCAGCCCAGCAAGGCTACAGGGTCCAGTGGGACTGGCCCACCGGGTTTCCAGGGCTCTCAATCTCTGTGGCTGCCGATCCTTACATCTTGTTCTTGTGGAGAAGCCGGAGGGTTTGAACGGGCAACCTTTTGGTTAGCAGCTGAGCGGTTAACCCGCTGTGCCCAACCTCCTTATCGCACATTGAGGAGATTGGGGCGCGGTGAGGAGGCGGAGCGTTCGCGTGGAGGGGCAGTGCCGTGCTGGCGGCCACTGCTGCGGGGTCTCACCCTTCTTGGCAGAGGGGCTTGGCTTCTCATGTCACAGGTGGAGGATTAAGAAACAAGCTAGCGCTCTTGCCCCAGGCCGGCTGGGCAATCGGCGGGACGCCCCGCCCAGGCCCCAGTGGTACCTCATCTGGGCAGAAGGCTCACAGGCCTTTCTTCTTCTAATCATCAGCCCACGGGACTTGAGGAGAAGCCAGCTGGGTCAGCTCTGACTCAGTAAAGCCCTGGGAACCGTGTGCTTGTGAAGTTGTCCCGGTTGGTTCTGACCGAGCCAGCCCAGCTGCAGCTCTGATGTAGGTTCAGGACCCCCTGGTGCCCATCCACCTGACTGCCCTCAGGACAGTGCCCGGCAAAGCTGAGAGACACACTGTCGCTTCCTCTTCCCAGAAGAGATTTCCCAGGAAGCAGGAAATAGATGAAGACAAGGTTCTGGGAGCTTAAGGAATGCCTGTCTTCATGTGCTGCCCACAACCCCAGCCCCACCCTCGGGGACAGGCTCGGCACTTGGGGGGTTGCCATCCTGACACCCCCATTGCTCTCGATTGCAGGCTGAAGACTTCCATGAGCACCGAGTCTCCCACCAGTCGGGAACTCATAGAATATCTCAAGCACGCTAAAGGGTGTACCCGCACGGCCATCCGCAACGGGCAGGTGTGGGAGGAGTCCTTAAAGAGACTGAGGCAGGACGTGTCCTGGGCCAACGTCACAGGTACAGAAAACCTACCGGGCCCTCCCTGGCCAGAGACAACGGAACACAAACACACAAGAAAGAGCTGCCCTGTGTCCTGGGCCCAGCTCTGCGCCATACTTGGCCGTCCCCTTGGCGGAAACCGATGGACAGGTCCCTTCTGCAGTGCGCCTGGCTGATGGGGTCCGAGCCCCTCCAAACCCAGAGGCAGGAACTCAGATCGGCAAGGTCACCATGCAAGCTCCCAGTGGGGGGCGCGAGTATTCTTTGTACACCCCCACCTGTAGGAAGACCCCAGAGTCAACTAACACTAGGTCTGCTTCCCAAACCGCAGGGCCACGGCTCACAAGTGGGCAGAGGGCAGTTAAGCCCCCTGTGCCAGGGGTCATTTCCTAGGACTGGTTTGCAGGAGATGGGCTTGCCCAAGGGGTTCTGGGTCAAGAGGGCCTGAAACACTGTCAGCCCATCAGCGTGCCCCCAGCCTTCTCTGCAGACGGAGGAATGAGCGGAGCCCCTGTGGGGACCCTTGCGTTTCACAGACTGGGCCGTCCTCTCCCGTGAAGTGGGCTGCGGGGTCCCTGGCCCGGTGCCGAAATGTGACCAGAACAGCCCGTACCGCACCATTACCGGAGACTGTAACAACAGGTGACTGGGCTGGGGGTGGGGGTGGGGTTGACCCCGCCAGGACCACCAGGCTCACCCCGCTGCGCAGCCCAGCCAGGCGCTTCACCACTGGCTATTTGCAGGCTGAACGCTCACTGCCCGGCCCTCCTGGATTTGGGGACCCCTCGGAGTCTGCTGGGCGGGAACCTGCCCCACCCCGAGTCCCCACCCTCCAGACCTTTCGGGCGGCTCCAGGAGGCTCCCGTGCGACCACCGCACCCCACCTGTCCCCAGTGGGCCAGGGTGATGCAGAAAAACCCACGTTTGAGGGGCGCCTGCTCCCCGGGGGCAGGCGGCAGGGGCTGAGGACTGGTCCCGCCGGGTTTCAGGAGGAAGCCGGCGCTGGGAGCCGCCAACCGGGCGCTGGCGCGCTGGCTGCCCGCCGAGTACGAAGACGAGTTCTCCCTGCCCTTTGGGTGGACGCCGGGGAAGACGCGCCGCGGCTTCCCGGTGCCGCAGGTGAGAGGCTGGGCGAGGCCCGCGTCGTGGGGATGGCCGGCGGGGGCACTGCGCCCCCCACGCGGGACGGCAGCACGGGGCCGGGGAGGCGCGCCCCAGCCCCCGCGACCCCCCATTCCCGTGGACCCGCTCTCAGGAGCGGTTCCCCAAAGTGCCGCTAGAAGGCACCAGAGCCCGGAGCCCGGAGTCCAGCCGGGCTGGTGGTCGCGTCCCCAGATACCCTGGAGTCCCCAGACAGATGGCCGCCTAGCCCCGCCTCCTGCTTGCGCTGCCCCTGCCCCAGCCCCCGGGGTCCTTCAGCTGTTGTTGGTCTGGAGGTCCCGTCCATTGGCCTCATCTGAGTTGGCAGCTCCTGCCCAAAGGGCCCCTTTTCCTCTCTGGACACCGGGTGCCTCCTTGGCACTGGCTCCTAAGGCAGCCTGCCTTTGCTTTCCCTCTGCGGGGTGGACGGAGCTCTGGCCTCAGAAGCTATACAGACCTGGTTTCGACCCTACTGCTGTCCCTTCCGAGTTTCGGGACCCCTTGCCCTCAGTCTTACGTCCATAAAATGGGAGTAATGCCACCCACTGGGGAGTCCAATGTGCCTGCCAGGTGGCTGGTACTCAGTAAATTGCAGTGGAGCCCGAATGCCCAGAGCACCTCTTCCTCCAGCCCACCCACCCTCCCCCTCCACTTCTCTCTCCTTACAGGCCCGAGAGGTGTCCAACCAGATTCTCGGCTACCTGAATGAGGAGGGGGTCCTGGACCAGCGCACATCCCTGCTCTTCATGCAGTGGGGTCAGATTGTGGACCACGACCTGGACTTCGCCCCCGACACGGAGCTGGGGAGCAGCGAGTCCTCTAAAGCCCAGTGTGACAAATACTGTATCCAGGGGGGCAACTGCTTCCCCATCATGGTAGGTCCCTGCGGTTTGCCCCTTGCCCGCCCCGACGGAGCGGACATAGACCGCTGTCAGCCAGAATCCCCAAGCCTGGCCCAGCCACTCATGCACTCACCCGTGTGTTCAGTAACAGACTTTGTCACTAGCCTCGGCAGGCAGTGCACTGAACACTGCACGTTTAGAGGTGACTAACACACAGCTCATGCCCCTGGACGAGGGGCCAGAGAGAAATGAACAAGCCCCTGATGAGGAAATCAGGAAGCTCGGGGAGGGTGGTCTTCACCTAGTGCAGCGGTTCTCAACCTGTGGGTCTCGACCCTTTTGTGGGTCACACAACCCTTTCACAGGGGTTGCCCAATTCGTAGCAGTAGCAAAATGACAGTTATGAAGTAGCAACAAAAATAAGTTTATGGTGGGGGGTCACCACCACATGAGGAACTGTATTAAAGGGTGGCAGCCTTAGGAAGGTTGAGAACCACTGACTAGTGGCTTATTAGAAATGCAAAATGGTTGTCCCACCCAGACGTTCAGAAACAGAGCCTACGCTTTCCCAGGGTCCCTAGGAGATTTGGCTCATGTGCCATAACATTTGTGCTGAGATGTTCTGCGCCATCCTGGGGCCAGGGGAGACTGTTCCCAGAAGGAGCTGGCACTGCCCGGATGAGTCAGAGGGAGCCGGCAGGGATTTCCGGGAATATCTAGCAGAAAGGGGGAGGACTTTGAGATAGTCCTGTTCTTCTTTGTGGATATTACCATTGGAGAGCCACTTACTTATTCCTTCAAACAAGCCAAGGCTGCGAACCGTGGTGCAAGGAACATGGGGTGGAGAGGGAGGCCGATCTGGATCCGAGTCCTACGTTTATAAATCCTTGGGCAGGTGACTCGACCCCTCTGGACTTTAGTCTTCTCACCTGTAAAATGGGATGCAGCTGTCTTCTTTGCAAGGTTTTGTGAGGTAAAGTTGCATAATGCATGGCACAGGAGGTTCCAAATAAATAAACAGTAGCTATCATTAGCACAAGGAGCCCTGGTGGTGTGGTGAGCTGCTAACCGTAAGGTCAGCGGTTCGAATCCACCAGCCGCTGGTGGGAGAACAGGGAAGCCGCCTGCCCCCATAAAAATTTAAAAGTCTCCTTCTCGCCGAACGCTGCCAAGATGGTGTTCAGGCGCTTCGTGGAGGTTGGCCGGGTGGCCTGCATCTCCTTTGGACCTCATGCCAGGAAACTGATCAGACCCGGGCTTTGGTTGATGGCCCTTGCACTCAAGTAAGGAGGCAGGCTCATGCCTTTCAAATGCATCCTCAAGTTCCCACACGGTGCCCGACAGAAGTCTGTCCGACAAGCCTGGCAGAAGGCGGATATCAGTACAAAATGGGCAGCCACAAAATGGGCCAAAAAGATTGAAGCCAGAGAAAAGAAAGCCAAGATGACAGATGTTGATCGTTTTAAAGTCATGAAGGCAAAGAAAATGAGGAGCTGGCTAATAAAGTATGAAGTTAAGAAGCTTCAAAGGGCGGCTCTCCTGAAGGCTTCTCCCAGAAAAGCAAGTGCTGCAAAGGGAGCAGCTAGGGCGAAGGTTCCAGCTAAGAAGGGGGCTGCTGCCGCCACCGCCCGCCAGCAAGAAGGCTCCCGCCCAGAAGGAGAAAGCTCCTGCTCAAAAAGAGAAGGCTCCCGCCCAGAAGGAGAAAGCTGCAGGTCAGAAGGCTGGGCCTCAGAAAGCCCAGAAAGCTCCAGCCCAGAAAACACCTGCCCCAAAGGCAACTGGCAAGAAAGCATAACACGCTGTTATAAAAAGTAATAAAGTTTCTATTGCCAAGCTGAAAAAAAAATTTTTTTTGAAGTCTCAAAAACCCAAAGGGGCAGTTCTACTCTGTCCTAAAGGGTCGCTGGGAGTCAGAAGTGACTTCCTGGCAGTGAGTGAGTGTGATCATTAGCACTATAGGAGCTGGGCTGCTAACCACATGGCTGACAGTTCAAATCCACCGACTGCTCCCCTGGAGAAAGATGAGACTGTCCACTCTCATTAAAATTTAGCCTTGGACAACAGAAAAGTGGGTAAAGGGAGACAGTGGTCTGTGTAAGACATGAAAAAAATTAAGGGTTCATGGGGGAAGGAGGAAAAAAATGAACTGATCCCAAGGGCTCAAGTAGAAAGCAAATGTTTTGAGAATGATGATGGCCACATATGCACAGATGTGCTTGACAACGATGGATGGAGGGATGGGTTGTGATGAGAGCTGCACGAGCCCCAATAAAGTGGCTTTTTTAAAGGGAGAGAGCGAAGACAAATCTAAAGCGCTGGATCCTGGGCCAGGAGCACTGACTGTCAGTGCTGTCCATGTTTCTGAAAGAAAAGAAGGAAAAAAGACTTAGTCCCGGAAACCCTGTGTGTCGGGATCCACTAAGGGCAGTGGGGTTTTAGTAGTGGTAGTCATTAGCCAAACCCTTCCTCATCTCGTGCCCACCTTCCCTATCCAGGGATCTCAGGTTCCACCTCACCCAAATTTCGGAGCCCAAGGAGTGTAAGGCTAACAGCCCCCTCAGCTCTCGGACACAGTGAGGTGGGATGAACCCCAGGGTTTTGTGACACTGGGTGTGTGATGTCAACAAGAGGTGCCAGGGTCAGTTGGCATCTTTGCCATCTGCATCCAGATTCCACTAGAGAAAGGTCCCCAGGGCCCAGCTGTGTGACCCCTGCCCAGTCACCACCCCCCTCTCCACAGTTCCCACCCGAGGACCCCAAGGTGAAGACCCAAGGGAAGTGCATGCCGTTCTTTCGAGCTGGGTTTGTCTGCCCCACGCCACCCTACGAGTCCTTGACCCGAGAGCAGATCAACGCGCTCACCTCCTTCCTGGACGCCAGCCTTGTGTATGGGTCAGAGCCCAGTCTGGCCAGACGCCTCCTCAACCTCAGCAGCCCACTGGGCCTCCTGGCTGTCAACCAGGAGTTCTCCGACCACGGGCTGCCCTATCTGCCCTTCGACAGCAAGAAGCCAAGCCCCTGCGAATTCATCAACACCACCGCCAGAGTGCCCTGCTTCCTGGCAGGTGAGTCTCAGTGGGGACTAGAGGGGGTGTCCACGGACAAGGGGACTTCCCTGGGGACTGAGCACAGAGGGAGACTAAGCACTGCACACGGCCACCAGGCAACGTCCAGGGGGTCTTCGCCATTGCTCCTTGTCGTCCTCTTTTGGGGAGAATGTGTACCAAAGCACCGCGCTCCCTGGCACCGGCCCAGGGCTAGCAGAGGGGCCCAGATGAAGACAGAATTAAGAAAAACATGTTTACTGTACAACATCATTGTTCAGTGGCAAATCAGGGAGCTCCAGAAATGTACCAAAATAGACGTAAGCTTAAAAAGTGTACACAATTTCCCACCCGCCTGTGATGCCGATCGAGAGCTTGGCTCTCGAGCGCTGCAGTAGCAGCATGATGACCAGTGGGCGGCCTTCGCAGACAGGCCGTGTTTCTCACGGTCCCCGAGGCGAGAAGTCTGAGAGAAGTCTGACATCGGGATGCCGGCTCTGGAGGACACCTGTCTCTCTGTCTACTCTGTTCCAGTTTCTGCCCCTTGGTTCCTTGGAGAGAGAGCTTCATGTGGCTCGGCATCTGTCCTCTCCCATCTCTGCTCGCTCGTCCGTGCCTGATCTGATTCAAAACAGATCCTGCACCTACATGGCCTTATTAACAAAGCGGGGGAAGCCAGTGCCCACACAGGATGTCAACCATCTGTGTAACCAAACCAAACTCACGGCTCTCAAGGTGGTGCCTGCTCCTGGTGCCCTCTGAGACAATGCAGAACTGCCCCTGTGAGGTCCCCAGGCTTTACCGCCAGCCTCCTCTTTCTCCTGAGGAGCAGCCCCTGCTGGAACTGCCTCCCAGTTAGCAGCCCAGTGGGAGACCCACCCCGAAACCAGGGCTCCAGCTACAGGTGTTTACAGCACGTATTTTTGATTTGACATGCATATTTTGGAGGACAGAATTCAACCCATAACAGTATCTTCCCAGTATTGTTTTCTGTCATAGCTATCCTTCTCCACTTTGTCTTTTGACATCTTGCAATCATACTATAAACCATGCTCTCTGGCCAGACCTTCACTTTCTAGTGCCCGGCTCATTCACTGTTCGTCCACAGAGTGGCTTGTCACGGCGTAGGTGAGGGAACTTCAAAAAGTTCAGGGACAAATGCCACTCCCCATTCATGCCATCTTGCCACGAAGCACGAAGCACGCTTGTTTTGTCATGCTCTGTTGTGTCAGCCCTCTTTGGGGACACGGTGGCTATTTCTAAGAAGCCCTGACAGTGCATTGATTAAGCTCTCGGCTGCTCACCTCAAACCGGGCAGTTTGAGCCCACGGAAGAAAGATGTAGCATTCTGCTTCCACAAAGATGACCGCTGTCAATGAGTCAGAATCAACTCACAGACACACAGCAGGCTATTTCTGGATTTTTCCAGGTTTGGTTTTGTTTTTCTCATGTAGATGAACATCCTTCTTGTACACAGTAGAACCCCGGACCTCGACGCTAATCCGTTCTAGAAGGAGCATCGAGTTCCGAATCAAATTTTCCTCTAAGAAATAACTGAAAATGGATTAATCCGTTCTCAACCACCAAATTTTACCCTAACCTTGGCCTTTTATACACAACATTACACAGAAATGTCACCAATTAGCACCGAGTGACCGAAACACGAGCTGCTTTTGTTTACAACAATCACGCGCGTCAGGTCACAGTCCGACGTTTTGTTGGAGCGCCGATGAAAAATCTCCTCAGCATTTCAAGTTGAAATCCAATTATATTGAGTACTGATGTGGTCTAGTACCAGGATTCTACTATATTTTAATGAATTTCTCAACCTAATTTCCCAGAGGTGAAATTTCCAGATTAAGAGGAATGTGTTGTTTCAAGACTTTAAGAAACTTGGTACAAAGCCCCCTCCATTTGGTGGACCACCAGAGTTCTACTTTCAATGCTGTTCCTTCCAGGGACTCATGCCTCCCACCCCGCACCCCCAACTCTCCACCCCTGCCCTGGCTTCTAGGAACCTTCTCTCCTCAAACCAAAACAAAAGCCCCACCCGACATAGCAGGAGGCTGGCCCCTGAGCCAATATCTCTCAGTAGATCCCTGGAACTCTGTCCCCACCCACCTCTTCCCAATCCGGACCCAGAACCCAGCCCAGCCCTTGCTCCACTTCCCGGAAATACCCACTAAGCTACAGCGTCTGTGACGTTAGCAGAGGGTCTGATGAGCAGAGGGACAGGAAGAGGTCATCTTGTGAAACACGAGTCTCCCGTCATTTTAGGGGTTCTCTCCTGCCCTCCGTCTTCTCTTCCCCTCCCTCCCAGATAGCCCCCCAGCTCCAGAGTCTTCTCTCCCTATTCTGGAGGGGGCTGGTGGCCCCCTGAGGAGCCTGTCCTCAAAACTGCACCCTCAAAATCTCCAAAGTTGCTCAACAAAATAAAACCCCACAGCCACCCACAGGACAGAGTAGACTTGCCTCTTTTGGGAAGCCTCTTTTCCCCTCCTGTGGAGCAGCTGTGGATTTGAACTGCCAGCCTTTGGGTTAGCAGTCCAACGTGGAACCCACTATACCCAGAGGGTTCTTTCTAACAGGATAAAGAGCCCTTTCTTTATTTGCGAAAGGAGCGTTGGTGGCACAAAGACTCAGTGTTAGGCTACTGAGGGACCGGCGGCAGCTCCAACCCCGTAGCGCAGGAAATTCTATGGAGCAGGGACTGGGCTTCAGAATCAACTTGATGATACAAAACATCTGCCTGCACCATTCTTAGAAGGCAGTGGGAGGATGGTTGATAGTATGTGTCACTGTGACTACAATCCTGTGAGATAAGCCTGGTACCCCCACGCTCCCAGAGAGGCTCCCGAAGGCTCGTAAATAAGGTTGCCCAAGTAACTTGCTCAAGATCACCGTCCAGAGGTGGCAGAGCGGGCATTCCACCCTCTAGTTCCCCATCCCAGCCCATCCCTCTTAAACTCCCCGTAACGCCCCTAAATCAACTGGAGGGAGGGTCCCTGGGGCACCATTATTCCTTGTGCTGCCTGCTCAGGGAGAGCCAACCTGCCTGCCTCCCGGGCTTCTAGGAGATTCTCGCGCCTCGGAGCAGACCCTGCTGGCTGTGTCTCACACCCTCTTCCTCCGGGAGCACAACAGGCTGGCCCAAGAGCTGAAGAGAATCAACCCTTCCTGGGACGGAGAGGTGCTCTTCCAAGAAACCCGGAAAATCCTGGGAGCCTTCGTGCAGGTCAGGAGGGGCGGAGCCCCACGTCACACCCAGCCTGCCTCCCTGCTCCAGCTCAGCCCTCTGCTTCCTCCTCTGTTTGCCACGCCTCCATTTCCCCCTCTGCTGCCTCCCTCCCATTGGAGCCCTCCATCCTGTCCCCTCTGGAGCTTTCCGGTCCTTACATGAATGCCTGGGTGGGGGGGGCGGGGGCACCAGAGAGGTGCTAGTGAGTTGGGTGCATGGGTGTGGCCGCCCTGGTCCTATCCCCAGGCCTGGAGGCTCCATCACTCCTGGGACTGACACATACCAGTTGTTCTGATGGGACTCTATTCTTTATGACTCTCTCCGCCTGAGCCACATGTCACGGGCAGATGCAGTACTCAGTGGATGCTGTTGATTGACGGATTGACCGGAAGAGATTTGGAAAGGTGGACATGTTAGTATTAGCCATGCACATGTTCTTCAAGCTTTTATTTTGAAATTACTCTAGAGTCACAGGAAGCGACCCTGAAATCGTACCGAGAGGTCCCATGCCCCTTTCATTCAGCCCTCCCCAATCTTACGGAACTCGGGGATGCCATCAAAGCAGAAAACTGACATCAACACAAACCATAATGAGGCAGAGTTCACCAGTCATGCATGCAATCGTTTGTGTGTGTGAGTGTCTAGTTTTGTCACACGCTGCTTCATGTGGCCACCGTCACAGTGAAGGCATTCGCCCACACCATCCCCACAGGACGTCTGCACGCAACTCCTCACCCCTCACCCCTGGCCACCACCCGAAGCCACCCACTGCCAGCGAGTCGCTACTAAGTCGTGGCCACTCCACGTGGGACAGACGAGTGGCATTGCTCCATCTGGGCAGCTTCTGTGTTTTACAAAATGCACAGAGCCATGCAGTGTGCATCCTTTCGAGGTGTTTTAAGATTCCATTCAGCGTACCCTCCTTGAAGCTCACCCCCACGGCTGCATGTGTCAGGAGTTCGTCCCTTGTTGTCGTGCATGTGGATAGCCCACAGTTTGGTTCACCAGGTGGTGTCTAGGTTGGGGCTCATTTGAATCGAGCTGCGATCCCGTTTGGGGACACATCTGCATGGAAGCGCCTTTCCTCGTCTCTGGGGTCTGCGCCCACGAGTGCGCCCCGTGATCAGTGTGAGGGACTGCCACGCGTTTTCACCCCCTCCCCCAGCAGTGTCCCAGGGCTCCCCTTCCTCTGCACCCTCCGTGTCACCACTGCTGTTCATTTCAGCTGGGCTGGTAGGGAGGTGTGCAGTGGTCTCGCCTTGTGATTTTCATCTGACTCCTGTAGTGGGGAAGAATGATTGGCATCTTTCCATGTGCTTCTTTGCCATCCGCATGTTTTCATCCAAGAAACACCTGTGGAGACCTTTGCCTGCTCCGAGCTGGAGTTTTAAGAACACACTAGTTGTGAGAGTTCTTCCTATAGTCTAGACACGAGTGCTTTGTCAGGTGTGTCCTTGGAAAGTAGTCTCTCCCACTCTGGCTTTTTCTTTCCAGTCCCTTAACAGGACCTGTAGCAGGATAAGTGTTTTCATGAAATTTTAATTTTGATGAGCATTTCCTTTCACAGTGTGTGTTTCAGAACCCTTTGCTTAGTCCTAGATCCCAAATACTGTCTCCTTTCCCTGGACGCTTTAGAATGTTGTCCTTTATATTGAGTTTATCTTTGCATAAAGGATGAGGTTTAGGTCTAGGTTTTTGTTTTCTCGACGGACGGCCCCCAATTGCATCAGTATCCCTTATGGAAATGCTTGTCCCTCCTGCATCGAAGCACTCTCGCTCCTTAGCCAAAACTTAATTGGGCATATTTGTGTGAGTCTACTGGGGACTATTTATTCAATTCCATTAATCTGTGTGCTTATTCTTCCTACATTACCACACTGTGTGGTTGCGGTAGCTATACAATAAACCTGAATCGGAATAACATGACATCCTTTAGTTAAAGGGGCACATCAGGACTGCCCCTTTAGCATTAAGGCCTAAATGTAGAACAAAGATGGCAAAGAGAATGCACCTCAGCTGCCAAGTCCAAATCACACCTATGTTGAGAAAAGTCATGTGGGTCAGCAGGAAGGATGTCATGATGGATTAGCAATGTCTGCCGCGGTCATCCAGAGGGGGATGAGGCACGTAGGTGAGCCACTTGCTGTCCTTGGTTTCGGACTACTCCGGCAAGCTCTTGGCCACAGCTCCGGGCCAGCCTCCCTCTGCAGAGATTTAAGTCATATTTCTCCTTCCAGATTGTCACCTTTAGGGACTACCTGCCCATTGTGCTAGGTGACGAGATGCAGAAAAAGATCCCCCCTTATCAAGGCTACAGCGAATCTGTGGATCCCCGGATTTCCAACGTCTTCACCTTTGCCTTCCGCTTCGGCCACTTAGAGATCCCCTCCACAGTGTCCCGCCTGGATGAGAACTACCAGCCGTGGGGCCCAGAGCCAGACCTCCCCCTGCACACGCTCTTCTTCAACACCTGGAGGATAGTCAAAGACGGTATGTCCCGGGAGGCATGCGCTGTCAGCCGGCCCTCCCACTGTCCAGCCCGCTTGGAACTCAGACTCCCGATTTCTCATGTGACCCTGCCCGAGTGAATTCATCCCTCTGAGGCTTATCTGTAAAATGGGGACAATAAAAGTACTTATCTCACTAAACCCAAACCCACCAATTCACATAGAGCAGAGTAGAACTACTCCATAGTGTTTCTGACGTTGTAATTCTTTACAGAAGCAAATGGCTTCATCCTTCTCCCAAACTGGCAGCCTTTCAGTTAGCAGCCACGTACTTAACCCACTTCCCTAGCTCACTAGGATATCTACATGAGTTAGATGAGATACCTGTATCAAGCATCCTGCAAGGGTTTCTGACACACAGAAAGTGGTCAGTGAAAATTGGCCCTTCCTTCCTTCCTTCCTTCCCTCCTTCCTTCCTTCCCTCCTTCCTTCCTTCCGGCTTCTAACATGCCTAGGATGACCTACTCCCTTCTCTAGACTGCTGCCACCCTTGTAGAAAGGACTCATGGGCTTGGCAAATAAGATTGCTCCTTTCTGGCACCTCCATTAGGTGCCAGAAGTTGGATTCAATTCTCCTTCATCCCCGGGCTGGGCTCTGTGGAGACCTGATTTACTTAAGGCCTGACAAGTCAGAGCCATTTCCTAGAATGATGCTGCCTCTCTCTCCTGTGGCAACGTTCTTTCAGAAGAACATCAGGGAGGAGAAGGACCTAACTCCACGCACTACAGCTTGGAGAAAATCCTGAAGCTTATGTTTGTAACATCATCCCATGAGCGTCCCTCCCAGAGAGCTGGGCTGCCCTCTGCCTGCCGAGCACCCCCTGTGAAGGCTACTGTCTACCCTTCTCTCCTGGCCCTATCCTGACTTTCACCTGAAAGACAATGTCAGGTGGCGGGAGGGGCCAACGGTGCAAGATGTTCCCATTCCCACGATGGCCTCTGGGTGGCCCCTACAGGTGGCATTGACCCTCTGGTGCGGGGGCTGCTGGCCAAGAAGTCCAAGCTGATGGAGCAGAATAAAATGATGACAGGAGAACTGCGCAACAAGCTCTTCCAGCCAACTCACCAGACCCATGGCTTTGACCTTGCCGCCATCAACATACAGCGAGGCCGGGACCATGGGCTGCCTGGTACGTGGCTGGGACGAACCTGGTCCCAGGGAGCTTTCAGCTACTTTGGGGGCTCCTGGGGACTCTCTCTTTCGGTTGCAGTCTTGAGGCTCAGTTCTCAAATAGAAGGCAAGGAGCCTGGTTGCCATAAGCCATCCTGCTCATCAGTGAAATGGAATCTTCCAGTTTTCCTAGAGCAGAGGCAAGAGAACATGCCTGGTCCTACCTTCAAACACCTCAATGGAAAAGCAATTAGCCAACCGCTTGTAAAACCATTTTAATGATCCTCACCACCACCACTACCACCACCAAAAAAAAGATCACTTAAAGGAGAGTAGAAAGAAGCAAATAATGGTTGGGCCTTTCCTTGGTGCCCATGAAAGGTAATGTACTAGAGGAGTATTAGACCCAGGCTGCCTGAGTTCACTGCCCAGCTGTGCCATTCACTGGTTGTACCACCCTGGGCAGTCACTCCTCATCTGTATTTTAGTGTCTAGTCTTGATGCCAGGCTTAGAATGGTGGCTGGACCCGTCCTGTCAGCCTCAGGAGATGAAAGTATCCAAAGCTTAAACTGTGGATCATCCCAAAGCCTCCTTCATCCTCAAAGGCGAGGAGCCCAGACTTGCTGGGGCTGATGACACTAGAGAGGTTATGTCTCCAAGAAGGGGTGTCTGCAGGAAGCCCCTGGGGTGATACAGCCTCGGCCTCCCCATCCTAGGGTACAACTCCTGGAGAGGCTTCTGTGGTCTCTCCCAGCCCAAGACACTGAAGGAGCTGGGCACCGTGTTGAAGAACAAGATGCTGGCTAAGAAGCTACTGGATCTCTACAAGACCCCTGACAACATCGATGTCTGGGTGGGAGCCGTTGCTGAGCCCATGGTAGAGGGAGGCCGGGTGGGGTCTCTCTTGGCCTGCCTTCTGGGGAAGCAGTTCCGGCAGATCCGGGATGGAGACAGGTACGTATACCCTAGGACCAGGACCGGCGAGCAGAGCCTTTCTGTAAGCTGGGCCAACCCCAGACCCCAGCATGGGTGGGTTTCTC